CTTATGTGGTACACTCGTCCAATGAGATTGTACCATTTAGACATTTTGTCTAATTCATTAAAATAAAAAAATTGAGTAGAATAATAAGTGCTTTTGACTCAATAATCAATACAAATACCTATTAGGAAAGAGAAAAATAAAAGTAAAAAACTGACATAATGTCCAAATGGTACAATCTCATTAGACGGGTGTATCGCATAAGCAATATGACGTGGTACACGCGGTGTACTGAATAATTCCTCCTCATTTAGTATATGTCACGCGTCACCTAAGCCCCTATCAAATATTTTAGCAGTGAGGATACACGTAGTCCCCAAGTATTTTCAATCTAGTACTAGGATGGTAGAGTAAACTTTCACATTTACGACCCTCAAAAAGAGCCAATCAGCACTTAAATCTTTGACGATAGATGCACCATAATAATCTATTATTGCTAGACCACACCACTGGTATGTGGTATTCTCAATTGTAGATTGAAATTAAATCAAAGTGGTTAGTTGTCTATTTTTAAATTCAAAGATCAAAATACCAATATAGTAGCATATTAAAGACCTAAAAAAAATACAAACTTGCAATATATATTTAATGTAATGACTAGTAGTCGCTAATGAAATCATGGAGTTAATTACCTGGATTAGTGGCAGTGAATCTTATTGTGGTCCAGCCATTTTTAGGCACAATCACAGTGTTCAACATGGGAGGATCAACTAGATTATAGCTCAATTTGTCCCTTTCCTCGTGAAAATTGCCAAATCCATATCCAACGACGTAAAAACTGTAACCATGAAGATGCATGGGATGATCTATACCGGCAACCAAATTTGTTCCTTGGAAAACAACTTCCACTGTCGACCCATAATCCAAAATCTTAACTTTAGTCCCTCTCTTTGGTAGTTCTAGTTCTAGTGGCAAATACTCAGATGTAAAATTAAACAAAAATGGTGGAACACTTGGAAAATCTTTTTGAAAAACCCCATTAATACGATAGTAGTAAGCATCTAATATGCTTAACGATGGTGTCACAAAGCTTATGTTGTTCATGCTAGCGGCCAAACGAGTTCCGTTTGGTCCTTCACATGATGAACTATTTTGTGGGCATGGGAATGTGTTTACTGAAACAGCAGAAATTAATTTTGTTGTTATGTTTAGTGGCACATTTATTGGATGGTCATTATCAGCTAGGCTCCTTAGCCTAGTGATGAAGTTGAAGGCTGATTTTGTGTCGTTATAATCAGGAAGGTACGGGAATAATAATGTCGGAGTAGTACTTGATTGAGATCGAACGGCGTCGTTTCTCTTGTATTGGAGGATTGCTGTGGTTGTGGTATTGTCAAAAGAAACGTTTGTACCACTTGAATAAGCTCTAGCTGCCATGTAGTAGAGAGTGGAATTGTTTTGGTCGGTGGTCAACAAGGCGTCCATTGTTTGGCCAGGAGATACTGTGATGTACTCCGTCGTCAATGATTGTTTTGGTCGGTGGTCAACAAGGCGTCCATTGTTTGGCCAGGAGATATTGTGATGTATTCCGTCGTCAATTGCTTCGTGTAGCCACCGTCCGATCCGACGACAGTCAGGTTGTGTTTCGC